TACTATAAGAAATCTACTAATAAAATAAATATTAACCTATTAAATAGGTAATTAAAACTAATAAAATAATCTATAAATTATGTAAAAATATTAGAAAAAATATAAAATATAATTTAGAGCTAAAAATAAATATATACTAATATAGGAAAAAAAAGTAAATTCTATTACAATATATATAAAAAAAAGATTATAACTGCTTACTGAAAACCAAACATAAACATAAAGGTTTTATTTCAAAAAAAGTATCAAAGCTGTAAACTGATAATATGATGCTTCTAGTATTAAACTGTCTAGTAGAAAACTAAAGTATAGTATTGCAAAAATGTATATATAAGATCTCTATATATTAGACCTATTTATACTTTTTACTAATTATATTTTTTTATTAATTGTTTTAGTGAAATATAAGAAATTCAGATCTTGTATATGCTCTTTTATAATTATAACCAATCTTAAAAACAATGTATGCAACTTTTGTATTGTATTATAGATTTTTTATCTACTTATTAATAGAAAATTTTTTATTTATTTATTATTTTATCCTTTCTAGCTTGGAGTATTATTATTTTAAAATTTATATTTTGTCTATTTTTAATAATTTCATTTTTTTTTTGTTAAAGGTCATACTTGTAGCAATACTTTATTGACTTTATATCAGGTTAGTTATTACAACTATTTTTACAGAGATGAAAGTACAGCTAGTCACACATGCAACTTTTGGTTGCCTATTTAAGTAGTCTACCCTAAGGTTCTATACTAGATGCCATACCTATAACCTACTAGAAGATTATTCATTTAATCATTTGCCTTGTTATATTGAAATCTCCAACTAACCTCTATATATATCTAACCAGTATACCATCTGAACAGTATGGTACCTACCCTTTTTGTACTAATTCTTAGGCCATTACACATTTCAGAGTACATCATCTGCCAGTAAAATACAGGGGGCTTCCTGTTGTTAACTATTTATTTACTTTTAGAACACTAACACAGGCTACTCTTGCAGAGTTTACCCAGACCCTAGTACTAACTTCATAGCATATCCCTAGTACTTTTAGTATACATCTGCTTTGAACCCAGACTCCCAATCCAGATAGTTCAAAAGGACTATAACCTGTTCTTGGTATATTGAGGCTGGCTCAATATTCTTTTCCTTTGGTTCAAAATCTGGCAACCTGGTTGATGGTATCTCTTATCTAAGGTTCTTGCCTGCCTGAATCCTTCACATTAGTATCCATTTTCTAGGTCTAGCCTTTACAGTAGTACCATTAAAGATTTATGTTACTTCTCTGCTTGGAATTTCCAAGTAGGCTCTAGCTTTCTAGTTCTACAGATTTACATAGCCCAAGGACTTATTTTAGGTTTGCACCACCTGGTACCAGTTTGCATTCCTCTGTATAACAGGTTATACAGATGCCCCAGACCTGCCAGGCATACTGGTGCAACCATAGTTACAGATATCCTATCCTAACTGATTAACAAAATGCCATTATCGTAATACCATCTATATATTACATAGGTGATTATCCAAATTTTGCCATTGGTAAGTTTTGAACTCACAACCTATCACTTGGAAGTATGACAACTTATCTACTTCACTAAGTTGCTACATCCTCTTTAATAATTTCATTACTAAGTTATAAAACTTAAATAATAGGCATGAAGTTATTTTATAATCAAATTCTCTAAAAATAGCTACTTGGTTTTGAAATAATAATAATACCTATTTGGCATCAGAAATAATCTTATATTAGCAAATTTTATAATTAAGTTTTAACAATTTGAAATTATACTTTATTTAACAATAGTGTATATAGGCTACTTTGTAATAACCTGCTACATATCTTGAATTTTACAATAAATGCAATATCTAAAGCATTTAATCTAATAATATATTTCAAAATATAAATCTAAATTTATATTATACATACCAACCAGAACTAATTGTGCTCAAAGCTATTTTTACTCAATAAATCATGTTGCTGCAAGACAAAATTATTAGATATATTACTTATATATTGATATATATATATAGTACATATAGTATATATATGTTGTAAAAGATACTGAGTTACTATCTAACTGATCTTTTAGTTATTTTTTTTTTATATTGTCTCTTTTTTTTTTTTGTAATGTCATTATTAGCATATTAGTATTATTTTATTTTTTTAGTATTAGTATTAGTATTGCCAAAACCTAAATTTAGAAATCCTTACTAAAATAGTAAAATCATATATCATTATTAAATTTAAAATATTTATTATATTTATGACATTTATGCTATTTAGTAATTAAGAAATTAATTATCTTTAGTGAATAAATACTTTTTAAGTATAATAGTAGTATAAAAGCTATAAAAGCCTTTTATGTCAATAAAAAATTAACTCATAGAGTTTAAAAATCTAAATTAAAAAAATTAAAACATTTAATTTGTAATTCACTCTTCTAAGTATAAACTCTTAGAGTTCAAAATTTTGAAGTATTTAGTAAAAGTTATAGTCTCTAACTAGTTTTTTTTTAATTATTTATCTTGTTGGTTCTATTCTGTAATTATATTTTCATATGCAATCACCAAATTTGTTTGTTATTAGTAGTTGTTATTATGATTCTTATATGTTCTATTTTCATATTAAATAAAAGAAAAAGAGTATCAATTCCTTATATACTAAATACAAAATTGATTAAATTTGTGATTACCTCATTGTTAAAAACTATTATCTGTATAACTAATTTGGATTGTGACCTGTAATTACATAATCTACAAATCAAACTTCTAGTAGCAGTAACTATTATAAAAGAAGTAATGTACTAAAAAGGAAGGCAGAAGAATACTTATTAGAACCTAACACTATATAAACCCATTAACTCTAATTATTTAAACTGATTGAAAGCCTTACTAATATTGAGTTTTATTATATAGTGAGTTATTATATATCAACCTTGCAACATATTTAATATAGCTTGCACTTTCTCAATATCAGATATATATAGTAATAGCAGTAGATAATAAATTAACTTCCTTATTAATTGTATCACATGAAATTTTAATTAGTTAAAAGTTATGACCTATGATCTTTAATTATATAATCTGATTATATGAGTTATATGATCTAGATTATATGAATAATATGATTTTTAGTTATAATGTTATAACCTTATGACTTTATAATCTAGATCATATAGTCATATAATCAAGGTCATATGAAAAATATATTATGACTTAGATTATAGACCAACACTGATTTATATTATACAAAAACATATAATAGAAAAACAACAACAGACATGTACAGACTATTAAATTAAAATTAATAAACAGATTATACAACAAATAAACAAATTCTATATAAAGATAGATTAGTAGTGCCATAAGGAATTAGCAGTTATATAATAATTATTATGCTTTACTAATATTTTATTAGTCAAAAGTTTTAATATATAATGATTTTAATAATTGCAATTCATTAAACTTTTATCTTCATTAAATAAATTCTATAATTGTTTCATATAATTATATGAATACTTGCTTAATACTATTATATTATCAAAAATATTCTTTTTTTTAAAGTAAATATTTTTGCATAATACTTTATTTATTAAATCAAAAAAAAAATAACATTTAAATAAATAAGCTTTATAGTTTGAACTTCGAATTTAAAGTTTATTGTATATATAATTTTTTTGTTCATTTAATATATATCACTTTAATTTAACTAAAAAGCTAGTTTTCAATTTCTGAATAGCTTCTAAATTTTTGTTACATTTTGGCACCTAGAGCTTTATTATAGGCCAAAGTTTCTTTGATCAAATTTTATTTGAGCCTTTTATATTTATTATAAAATTATCATTTTTAATGTTTTGTTTAATAATTAATATTAAAGATTTGAATGTTTTTTTTTTAGAGCTAATTCAATCTTTCACTCTTCAATAACATTAAATTGTAAATGTATAATTGATTTATTTTCATTGAATATCTCAAATATAATATTTAATTCATCCAAATAGATTTGTAACACATTATTCCAAGGATTATTAACTAAATTAATTCTTGGTAACTTTTTTTTTCCAAAATAGATTAGTGAATAATCATGCTGTCGAAATGTGTTCAAGAATTGTAAAAAGAAATTTGAATGATTTTTAGTATATGTTTGTATCAAATACTTATATATAAAATATAAACTATTTAGATGTTGATAAGAAAAAACCTGTAAACTGATTTACTGATTTTTATATTAGCAAACTTAGTCCTAAAAAATTTGATTTTATATAATTGTTTTAGTAATTTCAGTAATACTATTTATTACTGTAATATATTATTATTATAGCTGTTTTTATAAAAATTGATTGGCCAAATTTAATAAGTTTTTAATTTGGTATTATTAAATTACTGTAATGCTAAAAATCTAATTCTAATAGTACTAAATTCAAAAACTTAATGAATTTGGCAGATCAAATTTTTATTATTTGTTTTAAAATTTATAAGAACAGTTGTAAATATCTTTTAAAAAACATAATTATGATAATTTGGACTAATAAAATAATATTTTTATTTATTTTTTATATTTCTGTACTAATTTTTTTGTTTGTTTCTTTTTTTTATACTTTGTTTATGCTGTGCCTCCTTTGTATAAAATTTCTTTTGATTTTTAACCCTTTTCATTATATTATTTAATAGTTTTAGACAAAGCTTGTTCTAAAAAGCAATTAAACAATATAGTTAAATTTTGTTTCAAAAATCTATTTGTTTCTCTTTTGAAAGATCTTTTAATTGAAGTTCTTGAGAGTTTAAATATCTTACATCTGCATTTTGTTTTAATAACTGATATTCATCCTATGGGTTACTAATTCTTACCTTAGCCTTTATTATTTTAGGCATATTATGACTAAAGTGAAAAAAATAATATTTTGAATAGCAGATGATTTTTGATATAGTGCACTAAGTGCAGAGGTTTAATCACGAAATGGTTCTATATAGTTTTTCAAATTTATTGCAATATTATTTTTTGCACTTCTATCAATTATATCAGCTAGTTGATCAATGCACCAAATTTCAAATCTAGCATATTCTTGCTTTGTTAGTCCAAAACTACAATTGACAGAGTTTTTAGTATAATTTTTAACTTGAAAACAATATTTAATTGTTTGAAACAATTGAGTATCACATGCTCAAAAAAGATACCAAAGAAGGCATGAATTTTTATTTTGACTACTACAGTTATTAGCCTACAGTTAAATTTCTTTTGCATTATCTGCAACAGAAGTAAAGAATAAATATACTATTGAAGCAACCTTATTTGCTTCTTTTGATGCTTTATTTTCAGAATAAATTATATGTTAATAATTATCTATTTCTTCATCAACTAGGCCAAATTGATAAATCTTTAATAATGACATATAATACCATTTTTCAGGTTGCTGTAGATTATAAGATATATTTACATTTTGAGTAAAATCAAAAAAAACTTAAAAAAAAGATCTATTACTAGCTTTAGCAGTTTGTATATCTTTTTTATAAGCATCTCTCATTATCTTATAATCTAATATATATGATGCAAACTGTTTATCAAAATCTTTACTAGTATTATTATCACATTTCTTAATTGCATACTTAAATATAATACATTCATCATATATATTCTTAGACAGTTTTCTGATTATAATTTTATTAAGCTTAGCATTACATTTTTATAATTGATAAAAAGATTGATAACTCTTAATATATTTTTCTGTATTTATTAAATTGTAAGTTTTGAAAAGACAATTATAAAAAAAATGAGAAGGAAGAAGAATAAGGTCATGTTTTTTATAATTTATATTTATATTTCTATTTATTTTTCTTCTTATATATTTTCTAACAGCTATTGCTTTATCATGCTGTTTACCAATTAATTTAATAAAAGATTTTACTTCATTAATTGTTTCAACAAATAAGATAATTTTAGGTTGACATCTAATATTTCTATAAGGTTGAGAAAGCATTGATTATTGTTATTGAGTCTACTTATAAAGATAGTAAAAAGCATCTCTATTACATATTCAAAATATTTAAAAAAAGAGAAAACAAACTTTACCAAAGTACAGAAGATAATACTTGTTTATATTAAATTTTTTGTTTAATTGATTTGATTTCTTATTTTGATAAGAAATCATAAGTATTATCATTGAATAATGTCTTTGTTTCTTATTTATTTTAATAACCTCTAATACCAAAGATTGCAACTGACTTAGTAGAACTTTTTCACTACATCTTTTTGCACATATACATCACATAAGTCTGTTAATCAAGTCATCTATGATTATCTAATCTTCTTCAGGAATCTGTAAAGAGAATTCAGCATATTCTACAGTTTTTTTATCTGTAGTACTTCAATTACTTTATTTTAATTTTAAGTCTTTAAGATTAAAGTTAATAATCTTTTTATCACTTTTTGAGTTAGAAAAGTTATAATCTAGAATTTCAATATAGCATTCTAAATTTTCAGAAAAAATTCTATTGTTAAATTAAAGAAAAATAGAAAACAAATAAATTATAATACTGTATAAAGAGGGCAGACAATAATTAAGTTTAAACAATTAGTAACTAAATTATAATATAGCAATAATAGGTATACTTAACAGGTTTGGTATATTTATTTATTACTTTTGTGATATTAAGTACTTTTTTATATTCTTTACTAATTCAAGCATCATTAAAATCATTATGCTTTGCTAAATCATTATACTTTACTGAATTAATATGATTATTTAGCAATATATATAGATTTAACAATGCATATAGATTTGACAATGCATATTTTAATAATGCATATAGATTCAACAATGCATATTATGCTTCACTGAATCTATAAATTATATATTATTAAATTTATATGCATCTCTTAGTTATATGTATCACTGAATTACTTTTTTTTGTTAAAGGCCATACTTGTGGCAATACTTTATTGACTTTATATCAGATTAGCTATTACAACTATTTTTACAGAGATGAGAGTACAGCTAGTCATACATGC